ACCTGTGTATCGTGAAGGAACTCCGAGACAGGGCAGCACAGGGCAGAACTTATGGAAACCTGGGCAACACATACTACCTACTAGGAAACTTCAGGGATGCAATGGCCTCTCATGAACAGGTGAGTGATCTGTGTCTTCATTTGATTATGGTAATTGCCGATAACATTGTAAGGCTGTGCAAAAGCACTCACTGCACTGTGTGCCAACCATTTGTCTTCCAGCGTTTGATTATCGCTAAAGAGTTTGGTGACCGGTCTGCAGAAAGGAGAGCCTACTGCAACCTGGGAAACGCTTGTATATTCCTTGGGGAGTTTGAGAGGGCTGCAGAACATTACATGTGAGTGCAATATTATTGATTGATTGATTAATTGATTTATTATGAGAGGGAGAAAGAAAGAGAGAGCATTACAGGCCTATTGGGATAGGCTTAGGGTTTGATATGGATTTTGTTCCAGGGTGTCTGTGGGTCCTTAAAGTCTTAATTTCAGTTTAATCAAATTAAAGGTCAATTAAAGCCTTAAAAATTTTAACAAACGTTGCAATTATAATTTTATTAGGTCTTAAATTTGAGAATAGGAAAATAGGAATTACGATACATTCTAATGTGATGATTGAACTTAAAAAAGTTGATATGATATAATTCAATAAATGTCAAAATATGGCACTGTTAGACATTCCATAGTCTCACAGTTTCAGAGCAATTTGCAATCAGTGAATACTACACTTTTATGACAGGCAGTTGCTTATGATCTACTGTTGATGAATTTTGACTTTATGGCTTTTAATATTGTAATATGATGTAGATGGTTGTAAGAGTGCATATTTGATCTCCCTCCTCTGTTTGAATGAGCAGCTGGAAGTAGTAAAGCACATACATTTCAAAATAAAAGTGTGCATTTTGTGCTCATTTATATCTAAATGAAAGTCCCACATTATGCATTTTTTTCTAGATACTATTGGTATTTTGGTTATACAACAAACTGTATCTGACATTTAAGTCAACGTAAACCTCTTGTAGCTTCTCTCTGGGCCACCCTATCACAGGAAGGAACGACTAAGACCATCATTTGGGCTCTGACAGTGATTGTGTTGTGAGTGCAGGAAAGCTCTACAGTTGGCACGACAGCTGAAGGATCTGGCGGTGGAGGCTCAGGCCTGCTACAGTCTGGGCAACACATACACACTACTGCAGGACTATGAGAGAGCTATCGACTACCATCTCAAACATCTCATCATCGCTCAGGACCTCGATGACAGGTGCTCTCACACACACACCAGGAATCATGTTTTAGTAGTGGCCAACTGATATATTCCCAATATTCCCTACTAATTCCAGTAATCTCAAAATGGCAGAATATGAGCCAATTAATTGTCTTGGCCGTTATATTATATATTATATAATTTATCTCCAGTAGTAGTTAATATTTAGATGTAGAAAAAAATCATTATGAAGCGTAATAATTTGCATACTCATTATGGAAGATATGTTTTCTGCAGGATCGGTGAGGGCAGGGCCTGCTGGAGTTTGGGAAACGCACATACAGCACTAGGGAATCATGACCAGGCCATGCACTTTGCAGAGAAACACTTGGAAATCGCAAAAGAGGTACGTGCAATTATAGACCCATCAGTAGGTACATATCTGGAAGTACCCTTATTATTTGTTTCAAAGGAAATCTGTTATAATTGCTTTATTGCTTTAAACTGCAGCAGGGTTATATACATTCTGAATAAAATAGATTATTAATGTTTTTGGGATGTATTTTAATTAAATGCCCTGATTGTCTTGTTTACAGACTGGTGATCGTAGTGGGGAACTCACGGCTCGCATGAACGTCTCAGATCTTCAGATGGTCCTCGGCCTCAGTTACAGCACAAACAATTCAGTACTTTCTGAGATCAAAGAGATCGACTACAACCTGCATGGTACAGCGGTCAAACAAACACTAGCACACAAGCACAGCCTTCAGCCATAGTATCTCAATTTCTTCGTTAATAAGTGGAATAAAGTATGTGACCATTGCATTTTAAGCTTTTCAACTGATTGATTGGTTTGTTGTTTTTCCAGGAGCCAGACCCAGAATGAGCCGACGGCACAGTATGGAGAACCTAGAGCTGATGAAACTCACTCCTGACAAGATCAACGTGAATCTAAATGTATTTATCTGATTCATAGCTCTATTTATAGTCATCAGTTCATAGGACATTGAAGCATAAATCTAGGTTTTCAAATCTCAGCATCAGGATTCATAGAGTAATGTAATGTCTGTCCTGCAGGGTCAGAAGTGGACCAGTGACATCCTCTTCAAGCAGTCCAAACTCTCACTGGCCAAGTCGTCCTCAAAGCTCTCTTTTGTCAATCGTTTCCGAGGAAAGAAGCACAAACTGCAGAGCCGCTCCAATAAAATCCTTCAGGATACCAGCAACACACGGGAAGCTCCTCAGAACAAAGTACTGAAACCACATGCAAACACGTTTACTAAAACCCATAGAATAAGACTGTGTTTACTTTATTACTTGACATTCCTGATCTGAAAAAGAGTCCATATTAATCCAAAGAAAAAAGATGTTTGTTTTTGTAATCTTTCATCAAAATGTAATAACTTGCTTCACATCTGAAACCTCTTCCCCTTTCGGACAACATGGCATTAGGGCTGTCAAATTTTTTTTCGAATTTCGAATATTCGTCGAATTTTAAATAAAAATCCACATTCGAATGCAAAAAAAACGTTGCATTCGAATTTTAGGTGTGCGTTAAGGAGGCAACCTTATCAGTGACGATGTAAGTGTCGTTGTTTTTCTTAGCCTTTCCAGTTGAAAGCCACTAGATGCGGTGCTGCTGCGTTGTTCATTAAAAATATTGCGGGAAAAGAGAACATCAATGCTGAGATGATGTTGTTTACGTCAAAACTGAAACCAAGCCGTTCACACAGAACGCATATTTCGCGCATTTTCTAGAGGGACATCTATTACCGTTGTACTAACATCTCGCACAAAAGAGCCGCATGTTTAGAAAGCCATGTCAAATTAATGCAAGTTCAACTTTGAAAAAACATACCTTGAGACTTTATGGTGGGGATTTTCCCCATCCCACTGCAACTCGTGTTTTTAAATGAAAAATGTACTCTGTGTGATTGGCTTTCGGCCCTTTGTATTAAACTATGCATACATGCATGATGCTGTTTTGTTTATAGTTGTTTAAGCAACTTAATTATAATTGGTTTATAAACATTATTTTAAACATTATGCACTTTTTTTCCACAGATAGTCATGTTATCTTGTGCTTTGAAGAATCGTGCATTAGTAGTTTGCTCAATGCGCCCTCAGGAGAGAATCCAAAAGCTTTTCTTCACCCTAACTGAAATTATGCATTTTTAAAAATTTGAATATAATTCGAATTTTGATAATACTTAAGTACAAAATTCGAATTTAGTTTTTCAGCCATTTTGACAGCCCTACATCGCATCTAATAACCAAAGTCAACCATAGTTGACTTGCATTTGAATCTTAAGGTCTGAACAGTTCATAAATTGAAAATACTGGTTACAAAATTGTGAATGTTCTCAGTTCTTCAGAGGACATTTGTTTTAACCTTTAACCTTTGACCTCAGCATGGGAGTACAGACATGTTAGGAGACGAGGGCTTCTTTGACTTGCTGAGTCGTTTTCAGAGCAACAGGATGGATGACCAGCGGTGTGCCATACAAGATGGGAGGAGCCACCTGTCTGTCAATTCTAGGTCCAACTCCCCACCCAGAACCATCAGGAAATGTTAGTGTTCTTTCACATTATTCATTAAATTTGTCTTTTAATATTCCAACAAGTAGCATTTAAAATGACATAAATATCATACATATAGCTGAACGTGTGTCTGTCTATCCAGCATTCTCAGAGTCGGCTGCATCTCCAGGTCAGGAGCCGTTCCTCAGACTGTTGGCCAGTGCTCAGGGCAGGAGTCTGGACGAGCAGAGGGCAGGAACAGGGAACAGTCTGCCCGGCCTGCGCACTCTATCCGAACACAGCAGCATTAGCAGCAGACAGATGATCCTCAGCCAGGTCATGGCCAACACAGACGCTACCGAACCCGACGACCAGTTCTTTGACATGCTCGTCAAGTGTCAGGTGAGAACATGTGTTTGAATTACCCAGAGTAGAAAAAACGAGTGGGGGGAAAAAATGCAACTGTAGGAAAGGGAGTCCATTTGTTTAAAGCCAGTCGTCTCATTTTCTTTTCTGTATATCTCAGGGGTCTCGTCTGGATGATCAGAGGTGTGCCCCTCCTCCGCCCTCCACCCGTGGCCCCACCGTCCCGGATGAAGACTTCTTCAGCCTCATCATGCGCTCACAGGCCAAGAGGATGGATGAGCAGAGAGTCACGCTGCCCTCCTGCCGCTGAACAAACATACACACTGAATAAGCTCTTTTTCATACACACGAGTGTTGCAGACCTCACGCTGGTAATACAAACAAAATGATGATCGGGTAATATGCCATCAGTATGAACTGTGTCCTGTCTGCTACATGATTATGAATGGCATTTTGTGTACAGCTGTACTAAGCAACTCTTGGGTGGGTGGGGAATGTCTTTGTAAATTTTATTAGATTCAAGCTCTTTCTAGATTTGCATTTGTAAGGATTTTAAAGATTGTTTTAGTTAAGGATGAACTGCTTTGATCATAATCACGGCAATGACTCATCTTTTGATACAAAACTGCAGGTTTATGTGTATTTATTTAAATAACATAGTTAACTGGAAGGTAACTAGTGGTAGTAACAATGTATATGTAGTTGTGACAAAAATATCATTGTATTATTTTTGTAATGTCACATTTAGTTTATAAAAGTAGTTAAACTATAAATGTACCTAAAAAGTGGATGATTCAGTAAAATTTACAACACAAATGTATAGAAATAAAACCTGTACAGACATATTTTACATTCACATTTTTCAGTGGTCTTATCAGACAAGAAAATTAATTGCAAGTTCATTTTTACAGAAAAGCAGAGCATTTGAATGTTCTTTAATAGTGAACACGATTTACTAAAATACTGTTCTCCAAAAGCTGCAGTATAGTAGGGTGAGCTCTCGAGTGCATTGGTTGCCTGTAGTTTAGTTTTCCAAATAATGTAAAACAATTTCGAAATGTCAAGCAAAAAAGGTTAAGAGTCAGGTAAAGGCAGATGACTTAAAAGGTCGGGATCTTCTTCCAGAATAATGGAGATGAAAATTTTTTTTACAGTGTCACTACCACTACGCACTATGCTACAGATCTTCCTCATGCTGGCTTCACTGGTTGAAGTCGGAAGTGTGATTTCAGTATATAATTCTTCATGAATGATTTGCTTGCGACACAGTTTGTCTGCGATGGCGTGCACATTCTTAATGCTTTTAATAAGGTCACACCAATTTCTATCAAAAAACTGAACTTTATCAAAGTTGACAGCTACTTGTGGTGTCTTGTGCTTTTGTCCAGTTTGCAACAAATTAGATTCAAAAGGAACCATGAATCCAAACAAAGCTTTGCAAATTTTTGCAGTCCAGACTGATTTCTGATCATCCACTCGGTTGAGAGTCATATTGATGTCATCGACCACAGAAAGATTGACCTCAAAAAAGTTTGGCTTGATGTCTCCTTTTAGCTTGATCTTTTTGGGTTGGACAAAAGCACCAGGAACCTCAAGACTGTGTTGTTTATTCATCTCTAATGGGGTTTCAGGTCTTGGAAGATCGATTTGATGACTCAATTGTTTCTCTTTTTTAATTTTTTCTTCAAAAACGGAATCTATTGGGAAAAAATACACATGGAGGATGATGGGGTCTTTGTGTGTCATGAAGATCAGTAGATTACAGTGCAGTTTCACTGCTATCCCTAGTTTCATAAGCAATGTTTTAGGAGAAAAATATGGTTGGAGTATTTTAGCATGAAAACGAGTCAACTCCACTGATTCAAAGGATATTCCCTCTTCTTCAACACTGAGGACCTTTATATCATCTTTAAGAGAGGGGTCTGACTCTGCTAAACAGGCGTAATGAGGCAGATGGGCCTCCTCCAGTTTCCCTGAGATCACTGTCACATCAATCACAGGTCCAATTCTCTCACGCTGAAGTTTCTCCAGCTCTGCTCTGAGGAAACGTCCATCCACTGCACGGTACTGGAGAGTGACGTCACCAGCACAGACCCATCGCATTCTGGTCCTGCTGCACTCGAATCGACCCGCCGGAGTGCTGATCCTGAACTCTGACCCTCCTTCATCTGATTCTGTACAGACTGACGGCTCCACCTGAACCCACTGATCAGAATCACCAATGTGAACACAAAACTGACACACTGGAAGCGGGTGAAGATTCAGTCCAGACGGTTCAGAGATGTTCAGCCTAGAAAACAGAGATGATAACGATAAATGAGATGATAAATGTATGAAAGAGAAACATATACGGTGATAAGATGATCTCACTTTTCCAGCTACACATTAAAAGTTTTCATTTTATTACACTTTATCTACTTGCATCTGTGGATTTCAATAATAAAATGAAGCAGAAATCTCCACTTCATTAGCACGTACATACACCAAACTTCAGTTTTTTCCCTGTCTGTATTCTGAAGGTTTTAACGGGGGTTTGTTAATATAGCATTTGCCTGATTTATAATATTTTATTCCTTTTTCTGACAGTTGACAATATTTTCTGATTTATGGAGTGATAAAAAGAAATGCCTAAAATCCCCTCTTAAAAAAATCTATAACTCTTAATATGTAAAATAAATAAATAACAAAACCTTTTAAACAGGCTTTGTCCAATTTTCCGATTTCTGTTCTACAAATGTAATGCCTTAATTGCATATTTAAAGATAACTTAGAAGACAATTGTCTTAACGCATTAATGTGATTAATCAGTTAAAGAAAGTATGGTGATAATCTATTAAAATGTTTACCTGAAGTGAAAACCTTACATATTTGGTGCATGTTTAGCCTAAAACAAAAGAACATAAAATTATCTCACTCTTCCAGCTTTTCCAAAACCTTTGGTTTGAAGTGAATCTTCACTTTCTTATTACAGCTGTGGCTCCAGTCCTGTTCTTTGCACTGGTCAGTGGGTTTACTGCACTTCCTCCTTGAGAAAGAAGGAGAAAACTAAATAAAGGCACCAGAGATACTAAGAGAAGGCCATACTGTCACCCTTCATGATGTGAAAAGCAAACCATGTTATTGTTATGATGATTGTACTTCAAAATCACAAATTGCAGAGCAGTAGCTCAACTAATAAATATCTGGTGGTGTGTGAAATATTTCATTAAAACAGGAAAATTCTGGGAAAAAACGTAACTAATTTAAAAAGCAAACATTTAATATACATGTTAATGATAAATGTATGAAAGAGAAACATATACAGTGATAAGATGATCTCACTTTTCCAGCTACACATTAAAGTTTTCATTTTATTACACTTTATCTACTTGCATCTGTGGATTTCAATAATAATAAAATGAGGCAGAAGTCTGTATTCTGAAGGTTTTAACAGAGGGGTTTGTTAATATAGCATTTGCCTGATTTATATTTTATTCCTTTTTCTGACAGTTGACAGTATTTTCTGATTTATGGAGTGATAAAAAGAAACGCCTAAAATCCCCTCTTAAAAAAATCTATAACTCTTAATATGTAAAAAAAAAAAAAAAAAAATCCTTTTTTTAAACAGGCTTTGTCCAATTTTCCGATTTCTGTTCTACAAATGTAATGCCTTAATTGCATATTTAAAGATAACTTAGAAGACAATTGTCTTAACGCATTAATGTGATTAATCAGTTAAAGAAAGTATGGTGATAATCTATTAAAATGTTTACCTGAAGTGAAAACCTTACATATTTGGTGCATGTTTAGCCTAAAACAAAAGAACATAAAATTATCTCACTCTTCCAGCTTTTCCAAAACCTTTGGTTTGAAGTGAATCTTCACTTTCTTATTACAGCTGTGGCTCCAGTCCTGTTCTTTGCACTGGTCAGTGGGTTTACTGCACTTCCTCCTTGAGAAAGAAGGAGAAAACTAAATAAAGGCACCAGAGATACTAAGAGAAGGCCATACTGTCACCCTTCATGATGTGAAAAGCAAACCATGTTATTGTTGTTATGATGATTGTACTTCAAAATCACAAATTGCAGAGCAGTAGCTCAACTAATAAATATCTGGTGGTGTGTGAAATATTTCATAAAAACATTAGGAAAATTCTTTTTAATTTTATATTAATTTAAAAAGCAAACAACATTTAATATACATTTCTGAAGTTTTGTAGATTTTATGATCCATATTTTCTATCCATGCGGTGCAAGAAAATCATTTGTTTTGTGGTCTTAACCTAGTTAAAAAAAACAAGCTCCTTAATGTATCTTTAGACAGGTCAGTTTGCACAGCTATAGAGCACACAAACCCTTCAATCGTCACAGTGCAGTGTGGATCTGTCAGTGATTTCTTTAGTAACATGAGTCCCTCCTCCAAAAGCAATCCAGTGACACCGACACTACAATATTGAAGTTACACAAACATAATCAGTATTCACAATAATGTACTATAAAAATTAGTTTTTTACAATGACAACACTGTAACAGCAATTCATTGAGTTCTTTACAATTTAGTTAGTGACAGTTCAATTAGCTTGCAGCACAGAGAGGGAGAGATATTGTATAATGAACAATTCTATAATGTGGAATTGCTGCATTTTGATGTAGAGCGATAGTTTACCCAATCAATAATATTGTCAGTCATCATTAACCTCGGCATTTCAAAACTGATTTTCCAATTAACACAAAGGACTTGTTTTGAAGAAAATAGTTGATCGCAATAATCACAAATGGGGACTAGAGCTTCGGTCTTAATAATTATGAAAAAGTCCTAGGGATCTGAAGGCTTGATTTCAGGAAGAGATTAAACCTGAAGCCTTTATTCATTTAAACATTTGGTCTAGCTCTCCTTGGCACATACATGACAGTTTGTTATTTGTTTGTTTTGTTCAGATGCCTTTGGTTTGACCCAATGTGTGACTAAAGTGTCCAAAAACTTTTATTTGGCCACTGTTTCTTGAGAGGAATCAATTACATGAATTAAGGCAAATCCTCTCACCTGAGCTGCTGTAGACTGCTGCAGGTCTGGACGAGGGAAATGATCCCAGAAGCCCAGCTCTTATTCAAACTGACCAAATCCAGATGCAGTGTCTTCAAACCCACAGAGTGAAATGAAGACAGCAGCAAACTGACAAGCTCATCAAGAGCTGAAGAGCTGCAGAAATATATTTTACCAAAAAAATATATGAATAACAGCAAATCTACTGATAAGATAAATAGAGTAATGGCAAAATTGAATATTGCTCTTACTCTTCTGCTACTTTTCCTGCCTTGCTGAGTCTCTGTAAGAAGAGTGTCCAGTCAGTGCTGGATATCTCTGATAGTGGACATGTAAGACTGATGTTTAAGACTGAGCTCCTCAGAGAAGAATCCGTCATTTCCAGCAAAGACAACCTGAAACAGACAGATACACAGATGTACATTTAACAGCACCATACTGCAGTGTTCCAAAACATACATCATTTTTATAAGACTATATAGTTATTCTAGTTATTCTTAAAAAGGAAGAGTGTATGTGCAATAGTTTCTTACAAGACAACTCCATGAGTGACTGACAGGTCAAGTGACCATCTGGGACTCTCAGCACTGTATTCATCTTCTTGAGCGCTGCATGTAAGAAGGACAGATAACTTATCAAAACAATTAATAAATGATTATATTCAAGTCAATTGTTTGATATTTTTATATGGCTGCATAGGAGGTATGATGCAGTTTGTTTGAATTACTTCAGCCTGCTCAAGATTTTTGATTCATCAAGACTCTGGATCAAATCTCCAGCTTCTGACAGGTGCTCCACTGACAACCTTGAGTCAAAAACAAAAATAATTTATAAAGCGAATGTTTTATTTACTCAATATTTTATTATATTTAACTAACTGATTGATGAACTTTATTATTAGTCTGAACTAAATCAACACTGAACTGACTTGAGCTAAATAATGTCATTATTTTCTTTTAGAGGCGCATTACAGCAGAATCTGAACTGTCTCCATAGAGGAGTATCCATTATTGATTCTTGATATTTTCCTGTTAATCACTGTAAAGATGCTTTCACAGTTTGTATTACGTAAAGAACTACAGATTTGAAAGTGAAAGTGACATGACGTGAAGCCAAGTATTGTGTTCCATACTTGGAATTTGTGCTCTGTCCTTAACCCATCCAAATGCACACAGACAGCAGTGAGTAGTGAACACATACACCGACACCCAGAGCAGAGGGCAGCCATGTGATGTGGCGCCCGGGGAGCAGTTGGAGGTTCGGTGCCTTGCTCAAGGGTCTCACCTCAGTTGTGGCATTGAGGGTCGAAGAGAGCACTGGTCATTCACTACCCTCACCTACAATCGCTGCTGGGTCTAACACTCAAACCCGTGACCTTTGGGTTACAAGTTCGACTCTCTAACAATTAGGCCACGTTGTTTGTGGTAAAAGTGGTAAACTTTTGAGATGTGTTGATGCCATGAAATTTAAAAATCTACTTATTTTTCCCTTAAAATTATACATTTTCTCAGTTTAAACATTTGATATGTCATCTATGTTGTATTCTGAATAAAATATTGAAACTTCCACATCATTGCATTGTTTTTATTCACAATTTGTACAGTGTCCCAACTTTTTTGGAATCGGGTTTGTGTGTATATATATATCTGTGTGTGCGCACTTTTATATATGTATATACTGACCTCAGAGTCTCACACATACAGAGTGCTGGCTGAAGAATCTTGAGTTTCTCGGCTGTTAAATCACAGTACATGAGGTTCAGGTATCTGATGCGTGGAAAGCACTGAAGACAGTTCAGCAGCACCCAACAGTCTGTGCTCCTCAGGGAAATGTTAGGCAGATCCATCAAGTTTTGTGTAATCAGAGCTTCACTGCCAAATCTCTCATCTTGGAGCTCATACAGACAGTGGAGAGCAAATAACAGTTTATTTTCATGATATGTTGTCCTTCTAATAACACTTTTATGCAGTTCTTGCTTCAGATTTATGGTGTGAGGAACAGTCCACTTGATATTTTCAAAGAGTGAGCTGCTCATCTCCTCATTTGAGAGACCACAGAGAAACAGCATAATGGAATGGATGGGATTTGATCTTTCTGGTGATGGCCTGTAGATTTTTTCTCCCCAATCCACCCTGTAAAGCAGCTCCCTTATTTTCAACCAGGAATCTTCCTCATCCATTAAAACATAAGAAAGAGCAGTGAAGAACTCCTGAAAGCTGAAATGCATAAACCTAAACACTGGCACCTGTCTGTTATTTATTTTCAAACTATCTTTATACAAGAACACACTAGTAGCTGGATCTAAACCAGTCTTGGCTACACACTTTTCATCAAGAAAGACCTGCTGCTTCTTCATCCCTTCCTCTGCCAGCAGACCCAGGCTCTTCAGCGTGGAAAGGACAGACTGACTGTGGCCATGATGCTCTAGTAGAGTGGACACAAAGAGCATATATATGGAGGTGGTTGTCTTTAGTTCTCTCATCACACGATCGTCATCGGTTAAGTGTTTCTTCAGACAAAAACAGACCATCCAACACAGCAAAGGCACAGAGCAGGCAGTCAGGAGGCTTTCATTCGCTTTTAGACTCTCATGTGTTTTGCTGAAGAGTTGCTCATCCTGAAAGAACTTCTGGAAGTACTCCTGCACCCCTCTCTCAGAGAAACCCATAATCTCAGTGAAACGCAGAGGTCCCTTGAGGAGATTCATTTCTGTATCTGCAGCTGATCTGGTGGTAACCAGCAGGAAAGACTCAGGCAGAATCAGTCCATTCAGCAGACGCCTAAGAGTGTCCATTGGTAGGGCTTTCTGCGATGGATTAGTGGGTGATGATATCTGAATATGTGAATCAAAAGAGAACTCATCACTTCCATCAATGAGGATGAGGACTTTCCTTGGTGTTAACTCTAGTATATGTGAGATCTGATCTGATGTTAAGTTGCAGCTCCAGCTCAAAAGCCCAAACAAGTTCATCTCCTCAGAAATACACTTCAGCTCTTCACACTTCAACAGAAAAACTACATCAAAGTTTTCAGAGTAAAGTTCTCCAGAAGCCCAGTCCAACATGATCTTCTGTAGCATGAAAGATTTCCCTCTTCCAGAATCTCCACTGAGAATCACAGTTTTCGGTCTGTTTCCGTCACTGTCAGGACTGAACAGCTGGTCTATTCTGATGCTGTGATTCTTGTCATTTGATAACAGTTGAGATGATGGTTTTGTTTTTTGTCCAAAATGATTCACAAACCTCACCAATTTACGATAGTATTTCTCATCTGTTTTTTTGCTCTTCTGAATGATGACCGGTTCAGTATAACGGGCGGTCAGTTCCACACGTTCAACAGGTGGAAGATTACACTCGATCACAAACTTGCATTTATCAATGACTGATGCTTTATACTTAAGAATCATCTCCCTCCAACCTACAGAAAAACACAAATGTTGGCATTAATGGTTTTAAAAATGATTGCCCACAAAATTCAATGGCTAAAAAAAATCTAAATTTCACTGGCAGCAAAGGTCCATTGTTTATTGTCAATAGCATAGTGATGTATAAAGCACAGCTCAAACAGAAGTCACTTTCAAAACAAGCAGTCATTTGTTCTTTAGTGTGGAGAATTCATGTGGCCAACTTGAAAAGGAGCGAAATGAGAACTTGGGGCATGGAAAACTTTTTCGCCCTTACGCTAAAATCCTGATCACACAGTCTCCATCACCCCCCACAACTTACAAGATCAAATTTAAATATATGAAAATATAACGCTGTCATTTTGTGTGCACAGTCTCAACCAGGTTTTTTCACAAACTACGAAAACGTTCATGGCCTCTGCTGTCTGCTTAAATATGATTCCTAAAAGGAATGTCCCAAAATAGTAGTGTTTAGACTCTTTTGAAAAAAACAACAACACTAGAAATGTATAACCTGAAGGCTCAGAGATCCTTCTAAAGTCTTGTTATTTTTGGAGAACAATTTATAGCGTTGTTACTTATTGTTTGGCTTTCCGGTGTTGTGCCCAATGCTGACCCTATGCTAACTGTTACCTGATTAGTCCACTGATAAATGGTCCCATTGATACTTTTGCTCTTTTCTGCTGCCTGTTATACCAGCTTACTCTTTCTGGCTGCTCGGTTAATCCACAATAAAAGTCTCTGCTCATGAATCGAGATCGCTCTGCCTCATTCCCTTTATTACAGAAATCATGCTCATTTTATGCTCAGTATGACTGATCCACCCACCAATGCAGTCATGCTCCAAAAAGTATGAGTGCAAGAAAGTAGTCTATTATATCACCCATATTACAAAAAGCTAAGCCTGAGATTAATTTGATAACAAAATGTAATGCAGGGTGATTATCTAGAAACTGGCAAATTCAAAAATAAAGGTCAAAGCCACAAAGAGCTCTGGAAATACTCAAACCAGACAACACATAGAAAAGATTGATCTCTTGAGCTACAGGCTTGAAGAAGTCTATTAAGTGAATTACACTGTTAATAACAGGAAAAACTCACTTTTATGTCTGGTTGCTACTTTGGAATCATGAACTGGAGGCTTGTGTTTCCAGCTGAAATAACCTGTTAATCAAGAACAACAGGACAGGTCACATGAGACTACCCATACTGGTAGGTTCACGTTTATAAATGTGTTTAATTAACAGCCACTGTAGATTCTCTTACCCAGGTCTTTGAAGAGGTGTGGTTCATGATCTCTCAGAGCATAATAAAAGTCATGCTTCACTCTGTCTCCTCCAGAATTTAGTGCTTCAAACAGCATTCTCATTTTGCCCTGGCTGGTTTGTTCTGCTCTGATCTCTAAATATTTTTCATCACATAGCATACCCTTATTTTTTAGTTCATCTGCTATTGCCATCGCTGAGGTAACTTTCTGAATAAGCGCAGCGTCGTTTCCATCCACAAATTGGGCCTCTGGGCATAAAAAAAAGTATTATCATACATTAGCTTACGATGATTTGTATACATCGAAACAATGTAAAGTTATATTTTTAAAAACCATCATTATGAAAAATTAATTGGTTAGTGGTTTAATTGTAACGTACAAAGTAGAAATTTAGAGTTTCAAACTATTTAAGTTTGCCAAATATTTAGATCGCGCCGTTTCTCTCACTTACCAAAGCTGCTCATCGTGTAGGATAACACAGACCTTGTTCCACGAATAAAAATGATATGCCTATCAGCCAGGTACTTACTTTTAACTTAAATCTAACGTGTCTAACATGAGCGGCAACCTCCCGCTCTCTCTCGTGAAGCCAACAAGGAAGTTAAACTGTTAGACTTAAACTGTATTTCGTCAACTGGCCTCTAGAGGCTGGCTGCAAAAGGGAGTCAATCCCATAGACTCCCCATGTTAAAATGCCCAAATTTACAGCAGAAAAAAACATGTTTACAGCCTGGTTCAAAAAACGATTTTGGTCTATATAGCTAATTTTGCCTTTCATGACAACTGTGAGGGGGGTGAATTTTTTTATAACTCATCCGTTTAAATTATATTAAGCCTTAAAAGTTCTGCATAATTAAGGGCGTGGCCACTTGAGTGACAGGTGGATTGCCGCTGCTGTCACCACCGTCGAGCTAGGTGGGCGTGGTTTCAGCAGCCAGCTCCCGCCGGCCCATTTTCGATTATCCGGGAGTGACGCGCGGTGACGCGCTGCCAAGATGGCGACGGCTGGCTCCGCCTACTTCAGGCTTCAAAACGCTCGTCGGAAGTCTACGGGTGACGTCACGGACACTACGTCCAACTAACACAGGGGAGTCAAACTCATTTAAGGTTGAGGGCCGGATCGGAGAAAATGTCCCCTTGTGCGGGCCGAATTACCTTTTGTTAAACCCTAGTTGGCTCACAATTACATTAATATTAACCATACAAACTACAATATAATAAAAAAAAATCTAGGACAACTTTTTTTTTTTTTTTTAAAGATGATGCTTGGTTATTTTAGGGGTGTGCAATTGACACAAAATGTCTTTTTTTATAGTGATAATTACTATATTTTGCAGAGTGTGTTTTTGAGATAGCACCTTGGTTGGTTTAAGCCTGATAAATAAATATGACACTAAAGCCGCCAGTAGGTGGCAGCAAGTCTCCGTCTTAATGAGTGAGCCATTGACTCGTTCATTCAAAACGGCTGATTCTTTAGAATCTAAGCTAGTGATTGTCTTTATGAATGGGCCACTGAATCATTAACTCAAATAATTTGTTCAAAAACACAGATTAATTCAGTAACAAAATACACAGTGCTGCCTCTTGTTAAAAACTTTTTCTTGCCAAAACAGAGATAAACAGACAGCATTGTGACTAATATAACACACTTAATATTTTATTTTTGCCCCCATATATTGAATTATATTGTAAACTGATAGCCTTCATCCGGAACTGAAAAACTCTCATGATGTGTTTGTTTGTTTTTTAGCAAAGTTACAAAATGTCAGCTCGCACATCATTAAAACAACTGTTAGGATGTTAACAGAGTACGCTAAATAACAGACGAGAAGATACGTCTTTACCAACCACTCAGTCGCTCTGACTGGCACATTTTTATTAAAACAGAAAAACACGTCATTCCTTTCAGTCACTGATTAGGTCACATGACATCTAGTGTCACATCACCTTCAATACCACAAACATAGTCACTCAAATACGTTGGCCTTTTCCTGTCTCTTGCAGGATTATCTTCTTCCTGTTGTGTTTGGTTACTATACACTACTGGTTCTTGAGTACTTTGTGCACTAACATCTGATTCTGATTTCACAGATTCTCTGATAGTGGTTTCAAAACCATCATCATCATCATCATCATCCTCTATCTGTACAGTCTCCGTACTTTTGGATACAAACTCCACTAGTCTGCATTTCTGTACCTTCCTGCTGTTAGGATAGTAAATCATGTATGCCGGACTATTCTTGTCGTATCCAACAAAAATACTCTTCTTACATCTTGAATCCAACTTTCCTAACTTCCCTCTGTCATGTATGTAAGCGTAGCATGCCACTCCGAATTTCTGCATCCTTGAAATGTTAGGTAATCATCCAGGTGTTCTGGGATTGTTGGTTTCACTGTGCAAATGGAACCATAAACCTTGTGATAATCTTAATTGGTAAATTTACATTTGTTTGTAAAGATGTTTAACTATTTTACATTGGAAACATGAAAAAAAGAAAGAAATTTCAGCAACATGTTTTTGCAGCAGTGTATGATTGTATCATAGTTTACAACCAGACAGCAGACAATTCACAACCAGACAACATGGAGAATGTTGAACAGGGTAAGTTAAGACATGGATCATCACACCAGTATACAAAAAAAAAAATAATGTCCACAGATACGTTTATAGGTTTATTTCAATTGTTGCAGGCAGTGATGTATTCAACAAATGATAACTAATAACAGACCCAGTTTTAAAGCATCGCAAGCTACAAACGAAGAGCACAGAGAACTGAAATCAATGTATAGGCTACAACTAGCTGAAGTTTGCTGTGCTTTATCCTAACATTACACAAAGAATGCCTGCAATCATTCAGTCAGGGACGACTGCACAAAACGTGCACTGTAAACTAATAAAAACATTATAAACTGTTAGGAAATGATAAACAAATGTAGTTTGTGCAACACTGTAAATATATTTACCTTTTTAAAAATATATATATATCCCATTATACCTGCTGAGATACAAGGAGCGTGAACTGAAATTCTCAGTTCCACTTGGTTCCACGCGCATGTCCGGGAAACTCATGAATATTCATGTCTGCCCCGCCCACTGAAACCAAAAATCTCGGAAACCGAAAATCTCGTAACACCGGAAACCATACTCCCTTGGCTCACTTGGCTCTGCGGAAACTTTTTGTGCGTCATCCCGCTGCTTTCCCCGTCTGCATGTTGCGTCGCGGTGAGTGGTACTTCTGCACTGACTACACCACTGTTTACGCTGACATGTCCTTGCTTTGTGGCCTTTTGTACCGCCGCTTTAAAACGTGTCCCGAATCCCGAGGCGTAATATCAACGTAAATAAATGAGCCATTTGTTCCGCTTTAAATTCAAAGTAAAATATTGTAGCGAATACACTTTATTTAATTTTCAAAATTATGTTTTATGTATCATTTTATAATATTGTTTCAATCATCCTGCGGGCCGGATTGGACACCTCTGTGGGCCGTATGTTTGACACCCCTGATCTAACACAAATGCGCAAAATTGACTCTGTTTAACGGAAAGAGCTGCAGGATTTCAGCTGTTCTACCCATAGACTGTAGGGGCCAACGTATTCTGTGACCCTAGTGGGCGCTGTTGTCAGTGTTTGGCTTGAACTCGAGATTGCTGGGGACCCGCGGCACCAGCAGTTTCAGAACCGCAGCCACAGAACAAACAGTAATGTAGTCTGTAATGTTTTTGCTATCATATGTTTAATAATTATCATATATATTACGTTAAACATTTATCTGCTAAGTATTTAATGTGTGCTTGGCTTTATTATGTTATGTGAAGCTTGAATTTGTTGTCATACTTTATAGCATATAACTTGTTTCTGTGGATGTTTCGATACATTTTCGGATGCATGTTGTAAATGGGCCTTGCGGTGAAGTTTTGAAGACGTTTATTATTCATAAAAATAAATCGTTTGCTTTACTTTCCTCTGTTATATGCATTGTTTGTGTGTTAATATTACCTTGTAGTTTAGTTATTTTAATCCCATTTGTCATGATTGAGATCATTGTGTGTGGCTTCAGCTCTTGTAGAGACACATAAGGATTCAGAGAGCTGACACATTACCTGAGCTGCAGCAGTGCAACAAGTGTAACAGCAATTACCAGCAGTTTTCTGCTTGACCAGCATGTTTAAGCCAGCTAAACTGGTCAAATTAAAAAGTCATCTTCAAATCCACTTCAACAGGGCAGTTGTCTGTGGAGGTATGCATATCTTGAGTTGTTTGTTTAATATACCTATGTACTCACAATTTATTATTGCGTAATAGTTTACCTGTGTACTTATTTATTTATTTTAGGCTATACTATACATTTTTGCAACCAATTATTGGTGTGATTATTTAGTTGTTAAATAAGGAACAAGGAAGTTGTTTTGTGCCATTTACAGGGAGAATATTCTTATTTTTTGTTGTTTTCCAGTACATCTTGTCTTGGGAGCACCCTTTGATTTTACATCTGTAGGTAGTTATCAGTTAAAGTAATTGACCTTTATGATGTTGTAACAGTTGATATTTAAAGATTTCACTATGTTTGTGTCTTCCGGTGTGAAATTCCAATCATACGGAGATGGTGGACTCTTATTCTTCTGGAGAACTTTGGAATTGGAAAGGTACTGGACATTTCCTCCAGCCCACCATTACATTTGCACCCCCTTCTGACCAATTTTAAATTAACCAAGAAACATGTATATTACAGTGCAGAAACCCTACAAGAGGCCCTTCAAGGTGGATAACAGGCTACGCTTGAGAGTATGTCTCAAATATCTATCTACAGTAGTCTGAAAAAGTGTTGGCCCCCTTTAATGTTTCAGATCACCAAAGAAATGTAAATATTAGTAAAAGATAACACAAGTGAACACAACATGCAGTTTTTAAATGATGGTTTTTATTATTAGGGGAAAACAAAATCCAAAACTTGCTCTTGGGGTAATTTTGGTCTGCCGGCCACTCCTGGGAAGGTTCTCCACTGTTCCATGTTTTTGCCATTTGTGAATAATGGCTCTCACTGTGGTTCGCTGGAGTCCCAAAGCTTTAGAAAGGGCTTTATAACCTTTTCCAGACTGATAGATCTCAATTACTTTCTAATTTGTTTCTGAATTTCTTTGGATCTCGGCATGATGTCTAGCTTTTGAGGATCTTTTGGTCTACTTCACTTCTTCTTCTTAATGTTTAACGGCGGTTGGCATCCAGCGTAATTGGTGCATTACCGCCACCATCTGCTCCGGAGTGTGGATCAGACAACAGGTTCACAGACTAATACACCCAAATTCCCTCCTTCTCCCCCAAGCATACAAATCCACACACTTCATCCTTATTCTGCTATATAATAATAATAATAATGATTTTAACCTTCTCTTTTGGTCTACTTCACTTTGTCAGGCAGGTCCTATTTAAGAGATTTCTTGATTGCGAACAGGTGTGGAAGTAATCAGGCCTGGGTGTGGCTAGAGAAATTGAACTCAGGTGTGATAAACCACAGTTTTAACAGGGGGGCAAACACTTCTTCACACAGGGCCATGTAGTTTTGGATTTTGTTTTCCCTTAATAATAAAAACCTTCATTTAAAAACTGCATGTTGTGTTTACTTGTGTTATCTTTGAATAATATTTAAATTTGTTTGATGATCTGAAACATTAAAGTGTGACAAACATGCAAAAAAATAAGAAATCAGGAAGGGGCCAACACTTTTTCAGACCACTGTATCTGTCTATCTATCTATATACAGGGCTGGGGAGTAACGAAATACATGTAACGGCGTTACGTATTTAAAATACAAAATATGAGCAACTGTATTTCGTTATAATTACATTTTAAATAGGTGGTAATCAAATTACAGTTACATCCGAAAAGTATTTTAGATTACCAAAGTGATTACTTTGAATTTTAATGTCATTTCTTAATTTTATATTTAAGTTTGGGGATTTTAACCAATAAGGCAACTGATTCTCCGTTGAAAAAAACTGCGTGCAGCAGCCTGTTCATTTAGCAATTTGTAGTGAGAGTGCATACATGCTCATCATCACAACACAAAAGTGGACAACACAACAGAAAGCCATTCGCGTAATGCATTTCTCTCGTGGAAATACAAAGACTATTTTACTTATAAATCTGAAAAAGGATGTAACATCTCAATGCAATGCAATGCCTACCTGCAACAAAACTTCTATCAGCATGAAGGATTCAACATCTAATCTGAAAGAGCATCTTGAGGGAAGTTGTTCTTGATCTTTGAAAATTTTTCTTTTTGAAAGGTTTTTCTATTTTCTCATATTTTCAGTGTTGAATGGTTAGCCTATCATTACGTTTAATATTTCTAAGAATTTAATAGAAAAATGACAACGAATTCTCCTAGAATTCACACTTTGCATTCAATTAACAGATCCATACCAATCATGCATGAAATAAAAGCCAAACGATAGCTTTGTGTGTTTTACAGATGGACTTGAAGTCTTTATTCATTCGAAATGTTCAAGAATAGATTATCTTTGGCGCGGTAATGCGAGTTCATGATCCGATTCGTGAACAGATTATTCTTTTGATTCAATCTTTTAAATGAATCATTTATTTTGTTTAACGAAACCAGTGTAAATGATCTGGGATGTGTTTCCCAAAAGCATAGTTAGCGAACTGTGGTTGTTAAATTACACTGAACTATAACGACATTAAGTAACTTGCGACCGTAGCTTTGGGAAACGAGGCCTGTCAATGTTGACACAGCGATTCTTTTGTGCCGATCGCTTCTCCATAGAGAGGATTATCAGTGAAGTAATCACTTAAAGTTTGGTCCATTCATTAAACAAATCTATTGTATAACTTGGGGAACTGTTTTGGCTACTTTTATGATATGTTTGGTGTGTCTGGATTCGTTTTGAAGCTTGGAATGCAGCATGAAACTGCACGGAATCCCATTCATTGTATTCAAATTGAATTTATATTAATTGGTAGGTTTAAATGACACAACATTTTTTGTTGTTCATAGAAATGCTGTGGAAAACTGATGTTGTTCAAAATAAAATGCAAGGAAAACGCAAATCTTATGACTGGTAGGTGTCAGTTGGTGTAGTTGGAAAACATAAAAACAAGACATTAATATGTTCCTTTGTGTATTTCAAAGTATTCTGAAGTATTTAGATTAAGTTACTAAACCTGAGTAATCTAACGAAATACATTACTGATTACTTTTTAAAGCATGTATTTTGTAATCTGTAGTGAAATACATTTTAAAAGTAACCTTCCCAGCCCTGTATATACAGTGGTGTGAAAAGGTTTTTGCCCCCTTCCTGTTTTGTTAATTTTTTGCATATTTGTCACACTTAAAAGATTCAGATCATCAAACAAATTTTTATATTACACAAAGATAATGCAAGTAAACACAAAATGCAGTTTTTAAATTATAATTTCATTTATTAAGGGAAAAAAGCTGTCCAAACCTATACATTTTGATTGTTACTTTTAAAATTATGCTGCTGCTCTGTCTGTGTGTGTGTGTTTTATTGAAATGTTTCAGTTTTCATATAGAAAAATGTATGATACACGTGTTCTTGACTGGAGTAAACATTTATTTTGAATCTTGTGATTAAAGTATATTTCATATAAAATGCCCAGAAGTTTCAAACATTATTTTTAATATCACAAACAGAAAATAACTCGCATAATACAATGAAAAGAATAACTGTATAAAACTAAATTACACAAGATTAATGTTTTTTAAATGCTTAATATACATTATAAAATGCATACGTAAAGTATGACGTATCGTGTGTAATAAAAGCAAATTACCCCTTAAAACCGTAAGGTGGCGCTACTGTTAAGAACGTAAGCTCCGCCCCTCACTTCCACCTAGGTTTTTCTCAATGCCTTCTGTGGATCTCCAGATATTTAAAACTATAAAGGATAAACAAAATCAAGTTCCTAAAGCGATAGTAGTGCAACAGCATCTTGAGAGTGAATATTTCCACTTTTTACAAATATTTACAGATGATTCCAAATACCCAATATACCCAACAAAGATTCCAAGTTGGTCATAACTGGACGAATAGCTGCAGCTATGTATATCCCTCTTTCTAAGTATAGAGCTGCAGAAAGAATGACTAATGATATATCGGTATATACTGCAGAGATGGTGGCTATTTTGATAGCATTACAGTGGGTAGAAGAAGTTAAACCATCTGCTGTAGTAATTTGCTCAGATTCGTTTTCAGTTCTTACTAGTTTATTAAGTGGAAGATCGGATTCAAGACAATATATATTAATAGAAATTTTACAAAATCTTTACAGAATTTGCCAATTGAGACTTTTAGCAGTATTTTTATGGGTGCCGGCTCATGTTGGTGTTGGCATCTGGTGTGTGAGGTGTGTACGCACTCTGGCGTAGTTTACGCAAGTGCCGGAAGTGATCTCTCACGCGTATACGTCACTCATTGGTTACACAGTGCACAGTCATTGTAGGTACGACGGCTAATAAAAATGGTACTTACTTGCACTTATCCGGATTTTTCAAACCGACTTAAAACTAAAAGATTACGTTCTCTCGCGCGAACTCATTCGGGAATGGTAACTTTCCACGTATTCCCAACTTCTGAGCCTGCTCGCCTGAAGTTAGGATATCAACACCCAACAACTGCGCGCGCTCAAGGAAGTTGGACATAGTGTTGTATTAGAGGTAAAATATTATATAAATACTGTTTGGTTTCTGGCACAAACCGATCGTTTCGTGTCTTAGGACATCAATGTGTCGTCACGAGCCGCAGGGTTTAATTTGGATTTGTCTGTGCATGTTTTTTTTACTCTCATATATTTTGTTACCATTGCTATGCATTATACGACCGAGACTGCAACGGTTGTAGTTAAAAATCATAATTTGTGTTCTACTGAAGAAACAAAGTCACCTACATCTTGGATGCCCTGGGGTAAGCAGATAAACATCAAATTTTCATTTTTGGGTGAACTATCCCTTTAAACAATGTTACTGATTTAGAAATACCTTTGGGTAAATCTGAAATGAAGGACTTAATTAAAACAGCTATTAAAGGGGTCATATGATGCGATTTCAATTTTTCCTTTCTCTTTGGAGTGTTACAAGCTCTTGGTGCATAAAGAAGATCTGTAAAGTTGCAAAGACTAAAGTCTCAAATCCAAAGAGATATTCTTTATAAAAGTTAAGAGTCA